CACTTCATGTCAGTTCTCAAGACATGTACTTAATAACTGTGCTATTAATTTGACTTCTGAAAGTTGAATCAGTTTTAAATAAAATTCAAAACTTTGTTGCAAGGACTGTGTGTTTAAAAAATACATTTTATTTTTTTTAAAATATTTTATTGATATTTTTTAGAGAGAGGGAGGGAGAGGGACAGAGAGCTAGAAACACTGATTAGAGAGAAACATCTATCAGCTGCCTCTGCACATCTCCCGCTGGATATGTGCCCGAAACCAAGGTACATGCCCTTGACCGAAATTGAACCTGGGACCTTTCAGTCCGCAGGCTGAAGCTCTCTCCACTGAGCCAAACCAGTCATTACTAAAAAACACATCTTAAATGAGCTAGATATTTACTCATTTATATTGATAAATAAGTAGTTTAACAAACATATGCTCAATTTGTGGTTGATACCTAAAAATATAATTTTTCAATGAGAGTCTTAAGTATTACTAATGGGACAGGTTTGACTCATCATTTGACTTCAATCATAGCTAAAATAATTGCCACATATAAAACTGCTACATTTCAGGGGTTTAACCACAAGTCTACTTAATGTCAAATATTTATTTCATCAGAAAGAGTGGAGAATAGAACCTTTCATTCAATATTTAGAGAGAAAAGTTTAAATGCCAGTAGCGGAATATGGAGATTGTTTAAATCTCTTTAAGGGTTTGGATTAGAAATGTCTGACATCAAATATTTTCACCTGGAGAAAGTATTATAATAGGACATTGAACCTCATGGACAGTGGGGAGTTCTTGTTATGGAATGGGGTTGTTTTTATTTACCAGGAATACAAGAGGTAGAAAAAAGGAAGCATGACGAAATTTGAATTCTTCACAGTTTAATATCAGGACCGAATCTTTCTAATGTCATTTTTTTCCTTCTAAAATCTTAGAGAGGGAAATGGATTCTGAACATAAGAATAATTAATCTATCAAAATTAACTTATTAGTAATTAAAATAATAGTTATTAACTATATATTATTTTTAATTGTAATATTATTTTATTTGTCTATCCCCTTCCAGTGGGAGGTAAAAATGATTACTTAGTTATTACTTTACTGTAATTATCAAGAAACTTTCTAACAGGTTCCATACTTTGCACACATCATTGCTTATAGTCCTCCTATAAAGAAAGTAACAGAATAAAATTGAAGTTCACTGTAGTTACCTTTCTTGTCCAAAACCACGCAGCTAATAAAACTAGAATTTGTTTGCCTTCAAAATCCAGCTAAGATCTTTTACAAATAAACCCTGTCTCTGTAGAGCAGCATGAAAAGAAGAGGGTTTTGTAACATATCAAACCAACTGTCAAATCCCAAACTGCTTTGTTTTCAGGCTGTCTAATCTAAGAACATATTCTTAATCTGTTTTCTTATTTAATTTATTTTAATGTATTCTATGTCATAAAACTCAATGAATAAAAATTCAGTGTTATATAAAAGATAAATTAAGAAAGTATTTACTGCATAAAAGGCTCTTGTTAAAACGCATTTCTTTATCCCCAGTGAAGTGTAGCTTTCCATTAAAGTTCAATGAGTTTGTCTTCTTAGCGTTGGCTAGTCTAGATACTGTCCCTATGACTGCAGAAATTAAACAAAAGACAAGATACAGTTTTGAACTTTAATGAATTTAAATCCAGTGATGACGGAAGAAACAAAAACAGTACCAAAAGAAGTAATAATAGAAGAAGCATACTGAAAATATATGTTGTTCTGGTGAAAATATATGAAACTCATCACCAGAATGGGACTTGAGGGAGAGGTGATGCTAATAGGAGAAATGATAGGCAGGATGGAAGTAACTATATCTCCTGTTCATGGACCCAGGTGCGCTTGGCAGGTACTCTTACTTGACATATGAGGTATTTGCCATAAAGTGTTAAAGCAGAGTCTGGGAAGGGAGTTGGAGGCTCTATTTCTTTGAAAATCAGGGCAACCTGTTTTTTTTAAATGAAAGTAATGGATGGCTTTTGACCTGGCAAGTTAACCCGGGCACGTGCCATTGACCAGAATGGAACCTGGGACCTTTCAGTCCACAGGCTGATGCTCTGTTCACTGAGCCAAACCAGCTAGGCCCATATGAATTGTTTTGAAAACAGAAGTTACATAACACTTCTGAGTGGGTGTTAACTATATTTTTCTTGGTTAGCAGAGAATGAATGAATGTATGTTAAGTGAAGAGTTACATTATGCAAAGTCTATTTTGAGACCTGTATTTGTATCTGTGAAATAGAGTCAATGATATTTTAAGAGGAAATGATAAGGATCAATGGGCCTTAATGATGATGTCAATATAGCTAATGGCTTCAGACCATATTAAATCCTGGTAATAAAAAGCTATGGTGTGATAAACATTATTGCAATAATAAAGATTGGGTGGCACTTTATCCTTTTCACCTTTATTGACTAAGATGGATAGAATATTATTTTTCCTTAAAAATAGCTTCCATCTTAATGACAGAAAAAAACAACACACAAAACACATGCATATGAAAGGGATTATTTTTCAATGGGCTCCTGGTTAATCCCCATAAAAATGGAATTGTTTTAGTAAGGAAAGCTAAATTAATACTAAGTAGGCCACCAGCATTGTGTCTACAGTTTGTTATATGCTAGGATCTGTAATTTATATATATTATTTTATTTAATTTATAAATCTCTACATGTTTGGTTCCATAATAATCTTCATTTTACAGAAGAGACAATTTGGTAGAGAATTTAAATAACTTGTCTTCAAATTCAAACGCTGGTAAGAATTTCTCATTGCAGACAGCTGCAGTGGGAATGATAAAGGGCAAATGGGTGAATCCACCTTACGTTTAGGTATTAAAACCAAACAGCCACGGTGACTGAGCATGAGATTCAGGTCAGGGAATTATCTAGAATGGCTCTAAGCTTTCTGACTTGTATATCAGGTATAGAGTTTTTCTTTTCCTTGGCAGAGGGGCATGGGGAGGACACGTGGGAGGTGAGATATTGTATCAGAGCCTGGTATGCTGTTTAATCAGAGTGTGAGATAGGCAAGGGGGTAGGTTCAATAGGCTTAAAGGCAGCAGTGGATAGAGATAAAGCTTCTGGGGTCATCAGTTACAAGAGAACCATGGAAGACATGGCTGGATGTATGGTATTGCCCAAAGAGTCTGTGTGGAGTAGGAGGTAAAAGGCCCACCATGTCTGACACCCAGGGGAACAGCAACCTTCTGGAGATGCCGAGACAGGAGCCCACAGAAGAGACTAAGAGTAACCACAAGATGGGAATCCTCAGTGCATACTCGATTGATTTCACACTAGAGCTCAGTGACATCAACTTCCATGTGAAATGACCATTAAACTATTTCTTGTTTGTCCTTGGTATATTAAGGGGCACATTTTGCATATTTCCATTGAGGGAATGAAAATAAAAGAGAGAGAGAAAGTTGCATTGAAAATGGCAGTGTATGATGATGCATAATTAACATGGCTATTTGTATGCTTGTCCCTAAATGTATAAATACCTTTTGATGGAAAGGCTGGTAAGGTCTTTAAAATGACATTTACCTTTGATCTGATCTTGGGGGGCATCTGGAGACAAGTGGGGGAGAGTGCCTTTTATAGTTCTTATACTACTACTTTAATCCAGGAGCCATTCATAATTAGGGATGGTAGAAACTTCGATAGGTTTATGCAAATGTATGCCCTTCCAAAAGTGGCTCAAGTAATCTCATGGAAAAATTAATGTTAAAATACTTAGGTAAACAGAAATTTCTGTCTCTTATGCAACTGAACTTCCAAAAAAGGACACATATGACTGAGACAAAGTAACTCATGTCTATTCAGACTTTTCATTACTAAGGAGTTATATCAGCCAAAACCGGTTTGGCTCAGTGGTAGAGCGTCATTCTGTGGACTGAAAGGTCCCAGGTTTGATTCCGGTCAAAGCCATGTATGTTGGTTGCAGGCACATCCCTGGTAGTGAGTGTGCAAGAGGCAGCTGGTCGATGTTTCTCTCTCATCAATGTTTCTAGCTCTCTCTCTCTCTCCCTTCATCTCTGTAAAAAAATCAATAAAATATATTAAAAAAATAAGAGTTATATCAGTGCATTTGCTTCTTCATTGTTAGAAGTATATACTGCCACAAGTATAAATAGTCTATTTATAATGTCAATATTCTTTGCAAGAATACAAATGAAAATTACATAATCATCTCTGAAGAATTTAATTACAATAGATTAACTTGGAATAACCTGAAAGTTCCTGGTATTTCTCCCAATTTTAATGAAAAGTGAGATAAGAATATTTCAAAAGATAGTTAGTAAACATAGATTCTAGTTTCAAAGATAGAGTCTCTTCAATTACTTTTAGCCTCAGAAAAATATTACTTTTCCTACTTCAAACTGAAGAAAAATAAAGCATACATATTTGGAGTACTGTGAAGCTAGGGCTGATTTTAGAATTCATATTTGACCTAATCTTCTAGGGATAAATTTGAAGTACCAGTATTTTTAGTACACCCTGTTTATTATTGTTTATTCTAATATATGATTGGTAATTTGGCATATAAAGTTCTTTAAGACACCTTCAAAGAATCTTACCAAAAGCATTTTTTAAATTAGGTCTTCTGGTCTTATACTTCTCCCTGGCTTATAGGGAGGGTGTTTTGTTTGTTTGTTTGTTTGTTTGGGGAGGTATTTACCAGATAAATGGGGTTATGGGTGTTTTTTTAATTTATTTCTATAACACTTGATATCAAATAATTTTTTGAACTTTTCAGTTACAATAGCTTCCTTTAGGAATATATTAATTTTACTTAGATTTAAATTTTTGGCCATGGAAGGAGTTAATTACCTTTTTTCTAAGACCAACACTTTGTTCTCTCACTCATTTTATTAACCACAAATCAGTAATAACTTTTATGGGGGGCAGAGGGGAGAAAATGGTCTGGTTGCTGCCTGCATCTAAAAATCTGATTGTTTTATTCCTTGTAGGTTTTACTGGGATTTAATAATGCTTATAATGATGGTTGGCAATCTGGTCATCATACCTGTTGGAATCACGTTCTTCACAGAACAAACAACAACACCCTGGATTATTTTCAATGTGGCCTCAGACACAGTGTTCCTCTTGGACCTGATCATGAATTTTAGGACTGGGACTGTCAATGAAGACAGCTCTGAAATCATCCTGGACCCTAAAGTGATCAAGATGAATTATTTAAAGAGCTGGTTTGTGGTGGACTTCATCTCATCAATCCCAGTGGATTATATCTTCCTCATCGTAGAAAAGGGAATGGATTCAGAAGTTTACAAGACAGCCAGAGCACTTCGCATCGTGAGGTTTACAAAAATTCTCAGTCTCTTGCGTTTATTGCGACTTTCAAGATTAATTAGATACATACATCAGTGGGAGGAGGTAAGACATCTATTTTACTTTTTAAAGTCACTATGTGATCATATTGTTAATGACAGCTATTTTAAAATGAACGACTAATCTATATATATATATTAGTTTGTGAAGTTCGAGGAGAAAATATTTATTTATTATTTGGTATGTAAGTGATACATGTGTATTTTTAAAATATATAGTTAAATATTAGATTTGAATGAACTGAAAAGAAATTTGTTATTTTAAAACTATCGTTTTATATTAATTTAGTTGTTTCCTAACAATCCCACTTTAAGCAAAAACTTTTTATTCAAATCAATGCAACCCTTCCTTCTTCATGAATGGCTCTCTCTCTTTTTTTTAATCTGATGTGAATGCACCAAGGACAATATTTGACAAAGATGTGGAGGGTCTATTTGCTAATCTAGTTTTATCATTAGCTCTAGGAGATAATCTGTTATATTGTATGTTTCCTGTAATATTGATATTTCAGAGAATTTGTGTTTGAAGAGAACAGATTTTGGGGATGTTTCCAAGTTACATATGTGAAGAGTGATTTCAGCATATTAATTTTGCTCTTTGTTTTGCTTTGCATGTGATTAATTATGCTAGTTTCTCCCTATTAGTTCATTTCATAATACTGAAAAACAGCATACCCAGGAGGAAAATTAATACATAAGGTGGGTAAATGCAGTCAATCTGGCCAGTATTTTGCTGACTAGGGCCAACTTTGTTCCCAGGCAGTCTGTTGACTGGAGAGGGCTCGGCAGCGGAGTTTCTTAGATCTGAGGGAATTGTTCCATTCCACACAAAGGAGTTCACGTCCCTGCTCCCAGAGTCTGAGTATTAAACATCTTAACTTTCTTTTCCTTCCCAGTCTACCTTTGTAAATTATCACCTGAGTTTTATTGAAGGTTGAAAATGCTTTGAGAGTGTCTAAATCTGCATTCAAGAAAACAATATACTTGCTATAAATTGTCGCTTTACTCATTACAGCGATTCATTTTAGCATTTTTAGGATGAATTGTGCTTTGGAATTTAGGTTTAGACGAGTCGGGAAATGGAACTTCCGTGAGCACCAGCTCTGCTTCCTTTGGGGCCTCAGCCATGTTGTGTGTGTGCTTGTCAATGGCGTTTCGGTGCCTAGGATTTCAGGAAATGCCATGTGATCATGCACACTGTGTGAGACATTGCTGAAGAGGCTGAGAATGGATGGTTCCTAAAATATGGATATGAGTTATATTTAAAATCCAGTGAAGCACATTTGAGAGATTGGATTCATCTGTGTCTGTGTAGTACATTCTCTCTGAGATGCAATAAATGTTTGGTTCTCAAACTTTATTATACCAATTTGAAATTGATATCAGACCAAGATGATTATGGATAATAGCTAATGTTTATTGGGGAATTATTATATGACAGGTAATATATTTGACTCTACTAAATCTTCCCGGTGACTGGTAGCTTGCCCAGATTCATAGTAACAGGCGGGCTGGGATTCTAACCTTGGCAGTTCAACTCCAGAGGCAATGCCCTTAACCACAAAACCTTCTCGCTTCTTGCTGTAACCTATGTGCACTCTTCTAATGACAAATACCTTAATATCCAATGATTTTATGTATTAAATACAAATTGTAGATGAATAGTCCAATTAAATAACCAGGAGGTCATGGTTCAATTCCTGGTCAGGGCACATGCCAGGGTAACAGGCTGGATTGGTAAGGGGTGTGCGGAAAGCAGCCCATCAATGGTTCTCTTGCATCATTGATGTTTCTATCTCTCCCTCTCCTTTTCTCTCTGAAATCAATACAAATATATTTTAAAAATGTTGTTGAACATTTACCTCTTAAAACATGGTTTCACAAACAATATTAATGGCTAGCCCGTGTAATGAAGAGTCACTGAGACAAATGCCCAGTCAGTTAAAAATGCAGTCGGCAGTGCAACTGCTTCTCAGCGTCTTGTAGTTTTAACCCAGTTACCCTGGAGAACAGCATCAGGGGGAACAGATGGTGGCCTGTCGGATGAAAAAGCAGCCACGTGGGCACAGAGGACACTCACTAAAAGGGATGTCCTCCGACATCTGGCAGCGGTCACAGGCACCTGGATTTTTATACCTTGATGGTGCTGTATAGATGCCATGCTATGTATGATTCATGCTCTGGGCCACCGTGACTGAGAAATGCAATTTGGTATACACTTACAGGCATTTGGTAACCAAACACACTCCGGCCAGAGCTGTGAGTTGGCAGGTTCTTTTGTATAAATAAATGACCTTGATAATAAATGAACCATAAGCTCGTTTAACTGAAGAATGTTTCCTTGATTATATGCTATCACACACATCATGGATATCTAGTGCCTGTTAGTAATCCTGCTAAACAGGGAAGAGGCAGTCATGATTAATTTAAAATTTAATATGTATTCATGACCTCACCCCCTACATGATTCAAACCAAAATCACAAAGGATCTTACATGGTTCCAGTCTGGCAAATCTCTACCTGGTTTTGATAAATGCCACAAGGATGTGTTTACAAGTAGGAACACAACAAATAGCTTGGCAGCCGTCGCCCTGGGAGGGTGTAGAATGAGACTGTGCAGGAAGATGTGAGCTCACCCACATGTCTCTGAATTCTGGGTGTTTGAGTACCAAGCTGGCTGGTGCTAAATTCAGCAAATTTGAGGAAGTAATGCGTGAAGTCTGGAAACTGCTCTTGTTCTAACTGAGTCATTTCCAAGGAACGCAGCTGCCTTCTATAGGAAGTGCTTTGGTCTTCAGTGATACATGTTTTGTGCGTGTGTGTGCGTGTGTGTGTGTGTGTGTGTGTGTGTGTGTGTGTTTTCTGGTCTGAATTAGTTCTCTGAAAAACAACAAGAAGCCTCAAAGCCAGATAAATTAGAGAACTCGTGAATGAAATGGAGAAACTTTAAAACTTAGTCCTTATGTTACTATCATGACTAAAGTTGAATGCCGTGGCTACTGTACAGGAAAAAGCTGTTTGGCCAACAGATTTGTGAAACACGTGGCGTTAAGAAGTCAGGAGGGACGAGGTTTACATAAGACAATTATAAGATCAGTGGCTTTAAGATGCAAAAATAGAACTCCCTCCACGTGATATTTTCAGTGTAAAGTTTCATGACACTGCATGTATATATCGTCAGGTGAAGTAAAAATCTGGAACAATTATTTCAATAAATCAGGCCAGAAAGTGCCTCTTTCTCTCATCTCTAGAAATCTGAGGCGTATCTGTCTTATAGTTTGGCTTTTTGAAATTCATTTCTTTCATTCAGCATTGATTTATCATTCTATTTCAAATAAAGTCAGTGACCCGTGGCAGAATGCTCTACTATAGCCTATCACAGGGTGACCCATTCTCAGTGATCCTCCTGAGGGAGACATATGGGGAGGAAATCCTTGGAAATTAAATGGAATATTAACAATTGTTAGCCCTCGCAAGCCACTGAAGAGATAAAGGAAGATTAAGAGTTTAGTAGGTGGGAGATTATTTAGTTAGTGAAGGTGAAGAGTCCTAGGAACCTTGAATGCTGCCTGGCCCATTGGGTTGTTGTTGGTTTTTTGTTTGTTTGTTTGTTTTTTGTCGAAATTGGATGATCTCTGACATTATTAGATATTGGAAAAACAATTGAAAAGAAAAATACTATTCTATAGAGGTTATCTGTTTTTAGGATTGAAGGCTGTGGGCAATGAACAAAATAGTGTGAGACAGGCATGATGCTTGTATCATAACTAAGCCTTTGGAACACATATCTGTAATGTTTGCTTTCTTGTTCCTCATCTACTATTCCTTCTGCCTTCCTTGCATAGATTTCAGACCCATGGCAATGAACTCAATCCATCCTGGGGCAAGAAGGAGGGCTTGTGGTTTCCATCTTTGTACACGTCTATAGCAATTTCGGATGAGTAATGTGTCTGGGACATCACAATTTTCTGCAAGCAATCGATATTAGATTTTTATGCAGGCTGAGAGACAAATTGATAAGCAGATGATGTTTAACAGCGAGAGTTAATCAGGAAATTTATTCCACAGGGAGCTAATTCAGATCGCAGTTTCTGTCTTTGGTTAATTTTAACATTCTATCTGGTTGATATTAGAAACAAACCCTTGCTGTGAATTGCCTCTCTACAATTACACAACACATACTGTAACTACTTCCATTTTTTAAGTATTCCAAAGCTTGCCATGAGCAAGCACCATTCTTTCTCTAAAGCTGCCCTCTTTGGGGTGTAGAGAACTTACATCCCTGTTGCCCATCACATCAAATCTGTGTTTCTTCACTGTGCCTTAAAGGCTCCTCAGCCAACCAGCCCCTGTCTCAACCGTGTCACTTCCTGTTTGCACCCAAGGACTCCTTCCTGATTTTTGTGTCTTTTTTTGTTTTTGTTTACAATGCCTCTTGCAGAGAATGGTTCTTTCTGCTTCTGTAACTTTGCATGTGCCACACCTCAGATTTAGAAAGCCTTTCTTTTTCCATGACTCCCTTAAAAAAGTAGACTTAAACTTATTTCCAGAAAAAAGTTTACATTGTCAGTCCCTCTCCTGTGAGCAGGTCTACTGGCTCTGCTTGCATTTGTTCTGTGATTGCTTGGCTGCTGATGCTTGCTTGGATGCATGTTCCTTTTCTTTTGATGGACATAGATGTCTATGGGGAAGAGTCAGTGCCAAGTTTTGCCATTGCATCTGCTTGTACACAGTTACAGAGTTCTAAACACAGAGCCTGCCTGTCCACTAGCAGTTCTCCATGCACTAAGTTCATGAGGTAATTGCAAGGGAATATCCATTCTTCACTCCCAAGCATGGACTAAGTAGCTTCTGTTTGCAGATACTGCACGTAAGAATACAAAGCATTCCCCAGCTTTGTAGGAAAAATAGACATAATCGCAGATGGTGTGGTAAATGGTTGCATAAAGAAGGGAGTGATGCTGGCTCGTGTGGCCCAGTGGTTGAATGTTGATCCGTGAACCAGGAAGTCATGGTTGGATTACAGGACAGGGCATATGCTAGGG